CCTGAAAGACTCCTCTCCTATACTGCGCCAACCTCGAAGTCAGCTTACCCTCACCAGATGTTATGGTGAAGCGCGTTCTCCAAAGTGGTGCAAGATCTTTGATACACCTCACTATGTGGTCCTCTACCGCAAGGCAATCCAATAGTAGGAAAATGAGTTCATGACTCGTCCTATCGAATGCATTGCGATAGTCGACCCAGGCAACTGACAAATTGCGATGGTACTGCCTCGAATCCCGCAATACGCAGCGGTCGACAAGCAGACCTTCCTTGCAACCTGACAGTCCCCGCTTCACTCCTCGCTGTTCATGTATGACTCGAGAGGAGTCTGTTATTATTATTATTATTATTATTATTATTATTATTATTATTATTATTATTATTATTATTAGTATTAGTATTACTTGTTTATATCAGGGTTGAAGCCCCCCCGTCCCTCCTCTTCAGCTACCCTAAAAAACCTCCCTGGATTCCCCCCGCACCACCTTTACGGCCCATTCCCCCCCAAGCAGTATTAATAATGACGAAAGAAAAAGATAATAATTTGCAAAAATGAAGACTCGTAAAGTATCCTCCACATAAGATACATGAGTTGTCTGAAATTCAGTCACATTTGACTACTTAAAAACTGAGACATTCCCTACTTAAAAAATGGGACAAATGTATCTGAAATTCAGACACGACTTTTTGTAGTGGCGATGGTAGTGGCTCAGTCAGTTTCAGGAACCCCCTCCCCTAGATGGCTAAAATTTGCAACCCTCCGCCGCTGAACCTCCCCTTTCCTTCCCCCCTCCCCAAGTCACAATTTTCGAGAGTTTCATTTTTTATTTAACAATTTTTTTTATTTAATCAACACATGCTAACAGAGAGATGGGGTATGGTTCAGCTAGACTCGAAAATCCCCTCCTGTTGTTGGGTAAAATTTGCAACGCTGTGCCATCATACCTCCCCCTTCCTCCTTCTCGTGAAATTTCAATTAACAAAGATTTAAATTTTTTATTTTAAAATTTTTTATTTTATTTAATTAACACATGCGAACGGAGGGATAGAGGGGTGGCTCAGATAGATTTGGAAATCCCCTCCCCTTGGCTAGAATTTGCAACTCTGTGTTATCATGCCCCCCCTAATAAACACATTATAAAATAAATTAAAACAATATAAAAATAATTATTATTATCAATGGTTAATCATACGTAAATATACCCGATACCATTCCTATCTTCTGTGCACTTTTGATTACCTAAAATAAAATAACAAGACATGCGGCAACATTGCACACCCGTTAACTAGTTCGGCAGACGTTTGGTCAGACCAGCCTGGCTACTACTACTGTCGACTTTACCGATCCGAGCGGGAAATTGACGCTACCGTCATCTCGCGGCATTCCCCATACAAGCTTCTATCATCATTCTTAACACTAAAAATTATTTCATCCAATTGATAAATAACAATGCAATTAACGGTACCAATGTGAATAAATATCTCATATATCAACTTTTATAATGTTTTTAGGGGTCATTCCCTCTTTTCTAGCCCCAAAATCGACAATTAAAATCAACGACGGAACAACGACGCTACACCGTCGCTCCTGGATCGCCAGGGGATCTTTATTATTCGAGAGACAATACCCTGTCCTCAATAATTCTTATGTTTTTGACAGATTGAACCATCAATGTTTACAATTTTTTTTCCACCCCAATTTGGAACTAAATTCAAGCACCTATTTGTAGCGTACTTCCGACATCAGCCGTTTTCATAAATGAAATCTCCGGCGATAAGGCAATATTCGGGCCTTTGTCATGTATAGCGAATGTGGAGAAAGTCGTCCAATTTTCAAAGTCCTGTAGGACACGGCCAAATCAATACATCATCAGGCCATCATGATTTATATATGCCATTGGTAAATCCGAAAATTCTCTTAGTCCAGTCCAATGCGGAATGATCAGTACAAGATTGGCCATACCCGAAGAGACTTAGAAAAGTATGATGAATAATTATCATTGATTACATAAATGAATTCATTAACGAATAATCAGAATAATAATAGTTGATAATATTAATAGATCATAATTTAAAAAATTTGATAACAAAAGTGGGAGGATCATTCATATCGACAAAACAAACGGCTGTTGCTAAGAATGGCACAGCAGCCGAATGGATATGGCGCTGCATTGGTAACCCACTGGTCACAAGTTCGGGTCTTGGCGGAAGCAATTTTTTTCCTCTTTCTTTTCGATCCCTTTATTTTATTACTTGATTAAAATTATAATTTTTTTGTTGATTCATTATTATTTAACGCCTATTATTGGCCAAAGTACACACTGAAGTACTCAAAATTCCTAACGAAAAATTTCTATTGCCATTTTTCTCCTTACCCTTTATTTCAATAGATACTTGCAAAATAATAAAAAATTACATTTTCTACGTTAAATGTATTTTTCACGAATGGACAATTGAAAAAAATGTTGTCATGTTATGTCGTAACAAGTTTGGAATTATGATTGAGTTGTTCAGTCATTTTTTGTTAGTTAAAATTGAATGGGTCGAAAAAATACATTTTTATATGGAAACAACAGTTCAACGCTTGGAAAGGCATGTCGCTTTTGCTCATCGACTCTCTCTCTCTACCCTCCAGAGTTTATTGGGGGCCTAGTTCTGTCACTCCCATTCCCTACGGACGTTTTATGGCTCATTGTACTCCTTTCGTTCTCCACGGTCTTCGGTGGGGGTTCGGAGGTCGTTCTGAAGTGGGCACGCCATATGTTTGTGGAAAATTGGAAGAGTGCAGGTGGGCTTGGGAATTGAATGCTCCTAATGTAGTCCATACGCTGAGGGGAGTTTAGTATGCATTTTGAGAGGAATTCTTGACACAAGATTTTTTAAATAGTTTTTGAGGTGTAAAATCCGAATTTCTTGATGTGCCAGCGAAATTTTACCACAAAAGCATTATTATTAACAATTCAAATGTTCAAATGGCTCTCTCCCGGCCATTTTGGGTCACACGTGAAAAAAGTTCAAACAAGAAATGAGCCAGGATTCAGAACGAATCCGTTGGTGTTTGATTTTTTCAAATATTCCAAATAGTTTTTTTTATATGAATTTTGCAATACAACGCGCCGCGCTTTCATTGGAATCCCCCGCCAGTACGCCCACCACTGGACGTTTCGGCACTATTAATGTCATAAAATGACGTCGCACTTAAAAATGCTTATTACAAAAAAGGTTCTGCAATAAGAAATCTATATTTTAACACGTCGCACGGGTGCACCATTTGAACCGAATATCACGGAGGCCGCCTCCGCAGGTTTGAGGGTCTTTGACATAAACAAACGCGGTCGAATTTGAGAAAATTGAAACGGAAATCGGTCCACAATTAATAACGAGTAGAGCGACGTTCGATTTGCTTCAATATTGTTATAAATCAATGACAAATCATCGTTTTAACGTATATAATCCCTATTATATGCAGGGATAGTCGATTCACTTGAGATGAAAAATTGCCTTGAAGTTCCAGGGATAATTAAGATTATGTAAATTTCTGTGATATTCGTGGACCAAATTATACAATTTTTTTACGACTCTAGTATTATGTAAATTTCTGTGATATCCATGAACCAAAATGTCAATTTTATGGTAACTATTGAAAATGTTTGAAGCATATATGTTTAGAAAAATTTATATGATATTCGTAAACCAAAATGTACAATTTTATCATTGATTATTGAAGGCAAGGCCGCACACCTACACTCTGCCAGATCGACACACCGTCATTTTTCACATCTCAATCACCACACTGTCATTCTGCACTTACACATTATTTTTTTTGCACCAAATAATTTTCACTCACACATCAAACTTTATGTACACCAGAATTACACAGGACAGTTCTGTACATCTCAATCTACACAAACCCCAATAGCACCATTACATACACGAACTACACACTTTAAAATCACAGTGTTCGTCCAAGGCAAGCTTGATTAAAACGCTACAATTCCACTGATGCTAAACAACACATGTGTACTCCAATCGTACATGTGTGTTAGTCAATTTTACACACGTGTAGAATGATTTTATGAAGTATTACACACACAGAAATGATTTAATTGATTAAATGATTTAATTGATTAATCATTTCTGTGTGTGTAATACTTCATAAAATCATTCTACACGTGTGTAAAATTGACTAACACACATGTGCGATTGGAGTACACATGTGTTGTTTAGCATCAGTGGAATTGTAGCGTTTTAATCAAGCTTGCCTTGGACGAACACTGTGATTTTAAAGTGTGTAGTTCGTGTATGTAATGGTGCTATTGGGGTTTGTGTAGATTGAGATGTACAGAACTGTCCTGTGTAATTCTGGTGTACATAAAGTTTGATGTGTGAGTGAAAATTATTTGGTGCAAAAAAAATAATGTGTAAGTGCAGAATGACAGTGTGGTGATTGAGATGTGAAGAATGACGGTGTGTCGATCTGACAGAGTGTAGGTGTGCGGCCTTGCCTAATTAAAATAAACTGAGAAGTGTAGGTGTATTTACTAACCACTGTTAAATCCATCCAGAATATTTATTACCGGTAATTTTATCACGTATCGTATGTGATCAATGCCATCGAATTTACATAAACTAGCACCGCCGCGGCCGCAACGTTGATACCCATTTATTATGCCTTTTCTTTTTTTGTTTCTTTCGAAAATTAATGATTTATCGTCGTTTTAGTCTATTGAGTGTTAAAGTTGATGAAAACAATGCGTCTCTGTTCATTGCATGTTCAATTTCAATATTTTAATAAGTGATCCACTAATTCTGAGTTTCCGTCGTCATTGAATGAAATTTTAATTACTATTGTAATCAAAATTATATTCAGAGTGCAAAACAACAATTATCAAATTTCTCACAGCCCATAATTTTTTTGTCTTCGCCTCCCTCTTTATTTCCGTTTACAACTTGACAAAAGTATTCAATTATTGGAGGAGCGGAGTGGCATCGGAACGGAGTGGTCGTGGTTTTTGGTGGTGGACAGAGAAATAGTGAGGAAGGTCGGTTTTAAGGAGAGAGAAAGTGTGGCAGTGGCAGGAAGTGGGAGTGGAAGAGTTAACGAGAGTGGAGCGAATATAAGGAAATATGGAAAGGTCCGGGAGCGAAAGAAAATTAGTGGAAAAGAGGCACTTTGGAGGTTAGAAGCATGAGGCGACGAAGCGGTGGGAAAGGGGGGAGGAAGGGAACAGTTAAGGAGGAACGGAGTGGACTATGAGATGAAGTGCGGTAAAGTTAGATAGGCTGGTAGATGGCGGGAAATAAGGGAACAGGAGAGACACGCGGCGAGAACAAACAAGTAGGGGAATGCAGAGGAGAGCAAGAGACAGCGGAGAAAGAAAGAGAAGAGGATAACAACAGAGAGGTATACAAAGAAATTGTTTTGACTAGAACCCCTCCCCCCCTAAAGGATTTAGTGGTTTAGTAAGAACTAGTGAGGTACGAGTCAGTTTCGGCAGAGACAGCAGAGCGTATGCTTAAAAGTGAAGGAAAAATATTAGTGGTAAAGATTGCGGAAATGGTTGAAGTGGGGGAGTGGAAGAGGTGGAGGGAGGCGGATAGAGAGTGGAAGAGAGAAGTGATAATGTGCTTGGAAGGGCTGAGAAAGGTGCTGAAAGAGTTGTTGGGGGAGGTGAAGAGGAGCAGGGAAAACGTTGAGGAGGCAGAGGAAGAGAAGAAAAAGAACAGTGAGCTGGAAGAAGGAAAAGGAAGAGGCGAAAGGAGGAACGGAACGTCGGTGAAGGTAGAGGATGAGGAGAGAGGAAGAAGTGGTACGGAGGTATCCGAGATGAGGAGGAAGCTGAGTGTGGTACAGGGGAATCAGGAAGAGGATAAGTCGGAAGTGGATGTAGGAGGAGACGGGGCAGTGCAGCAGGCAAGAGAGCAGGCCATGGAGAAGGGGAAGGAGACAGAGGTAGTGGAGGAGGAGGAAAAGGTGCAGAACGCTACGGCAGACGACAAGGATATGAAAGAAGAACCGGACATGGATGGAGGAGAGGAAGCACGAGTAAGACATGAGGAGGAGAAGAGCGGATGGGAGAGAGTGGAGAAAAGGAGGAGAGAGAGGGAGGAACAGATGCTGGAGGAGCGGAAGAAACTGAGGGAGAAGAGGGTGATTATAAAGGGGCTTACGGAAAATGGGTGGAACGCTAGGAAAGTGGCAAGGAGGATGTTGGAGAAGGTCTGTGGTGAGGAGGTGGAAATAGTGACGATGGAGGAGAGGAGGGGCGACAGAGGTGCTAGGGTGCTGGTAGTGGAATTGAGTGGTAAGGAAGTAGCCCAGATGGTGTTGCAGAGTAAGGTGAGGATCATGGAGGACTTTGGGCTATACGTTGATAGGGACCTGTCGTTTGAAGAGAGAAGAATGAGGTGGATGTTGAGGGCGAGGGCGAGGGCAGCGAAGAGGGAGGGGAAATGTGTGGTAGATGAGGAAGGAAGGGTAGGAATTGAGAGAATATGGTGGTCATGGGATGCAGAGAAGGAAGTATGGTATAGAGCAGGGATGGGTAAAGTCGGAACCTCGGGAGCCACGGCCATAAAGCCCTATTAGACCCATTGTTCGGAATACAATACCACAATTGCGTGAGGTCCAGCGTAGTCAGAGTGGGGGTAGCAGCGTGCACGAAGAGGGGCGCAGTTAGACAGAGAGAGCGCCACGCGCTCTCCCTCAAAATTTAAAAAACCTTACCGCCTGAAAATTCAAACAAATTTTCACCAATTCAACTTGAAAAATGCTTAGTTGTACCGGGGGNAGGCGTATTCCGTCAGGAAAACACTAAAAGAAAAAAATGTTTTGATAATATGAAAAAAATTCTAGCCGCAAACTAATTGATCGTTAGCGATTAGATTTTTTGTAATTTTCGAAACCATTTTCTTCTCTCAGTGTTGGAAGGAAAGAAAATTAAGGAATGGGAAGGAATGGCGGGAAATATTGGGAAGATAAGAAAATTGCATGCACAACAACATAGAAACTCCATGCCCCCATTATTAAGAAGCCATGCACCATACGTCATGCAATAAAAAGTTATTAATGCGAAAAGTGGGACTCCATGGTAGCTGATAATTTTTCCAAATCGGGTGAATAATTACTTATTGCAATTAATATTGAATCTTTGAGAGTCGAGTCCGATAAAATTGTGCGATTTGACGATTTAATGTGGTTCATATGTAAAAATCCCGACTCACATACNCATAGAAACTCCATGCCCCCATTATTAAGAAGCCATGCACCATACGTCATGCAATAAAAAGTTATTAATGCGAAAAGTGGGACTCCATGGTAGCTGATAATTTTTCCAAATCGGGTGAATAATTACTTATTGCAATTAATATTGAATCTTTGAGAGTCGAGTCCGATAAAATTGTGCGATTTGACGATTTAATGTGGTTCATATGTGAAAATCCCGACTCACATAAATATGAGGTACCGAACGAACAGGCAATTCTTTTATAAACAAGTAAAAGATTCGGATACGCGTTTGTTTCGGAAATTTTTTGCCAAATATCTGAAGTCAGTTGCAAAAGCTCTTCGTCGCGTTGTAAATTGATTACCTCGTGATAAATCTCAACTTTATTTACCGGGTGGGAATTTTTAATAGTTAAGGAGATAATTCGGCGGATGTCTACGTCAGACTTCTTGGGAGAACGTAAAAATTCGATTATCTCGCCCGTTTCAACTATATCTTGAAATCTAGAATTAATGTCATCTAAAAGCTGTTCAGTACATACAGAAAAATTGGCAAAATCCAGTGTGATACCTTCATGCTTATCCGCAAGACTCTGTAGTCGTGAGAAAACAAAAGGTATAGAATTTTTATTAAATTCAGCAATTGTGGAGGACAGGAAAAATTTGAAATTTTGAAGAATTTTTAGGTACTCCCAAAAAAATTTATTAGGGCCCTGCATTTGCTTGTTGTAAAAATTGATATTTTCCGTCAAGTCAGCGGTAAATGCAAGCATCGTGTTATGTCCAAATTATTTCCAGTCTAAAATCCAACCCCCCCGATTCCAAAATAACCAAAAACCCATAATAACCAACAGCGTACAAGATTTAGATCACAGAAAAATATCAATAAAAATTAAACTAAGGGCCAAACAAATAAAGCACAGAGGACCAAAATTGTTCCCCCGGATGAAATAAAACCTCCGAGCCCTCACACGCCCCGTTTGGACCATCACGAAACCCACCCCCACTACCCTGCACGAAATAAATAAATTGCCCCCAAACCAAATTATAAAACCAAAATCCCCGCACCATACAAATACGTGAGAAGTTCTACCCCACTACGACGAAACTTTTGACCCATCACCCAAAAAGAAATTCCGAATACTGCAAAAGTTATTAACAAATAACTTTAGCAGGGGTCCAATTTTTCCCGAACAAAACATTTTTGCTAAAACCCAAAATAATAGTTTTACAGAAAACTTCCCATAACAAAAAACGACCGGGCAACAAAACCAAACAATCCAAGCCCTCACTCAATCCAATCGGATAACAATTACAATTGTTAACAACAAATTCCTCTAAAAATTTTCAACCAATCCCAATAAATAGTAAAACACAATTCCACCCCAAAACGATATCTCCAAAAATGCTGCACAACCAGCGCAAGAAAATAAACCGACAATTTTGACATTCCGTCCATAAATAAAAGAGCTAGCTAAATAAACAATAACTAACTAACAATCGATGTGACACCCAAACAACGCGTTACCTAGAAAAACGTCCTTAACAAAAATTATTGGAATCATCGAGACCCTTCCGGCAAGCCAACACAACCCTCAAAAACAACAACCCCTAAACCACCCCCAATCTGAAAATGAACATAAAACACACTCCAACAACTCTTTTCGGAACAACCCATGTCGAAATTGCCGACAGGCAATTCCAGCATCGCGCTAAATTCCTCAGGCTACCTCAAAGTCCAATAAGTTCCAAAACCCCAGGAGTGGAATCAGCGAAAATTCGATCACGTGAACAGGTGTTCCACGTGGAATTTTCGTCATAAACCTCCAAATCACCAACTCCCACCCCATAAAGCCAACGCCTAAATTAAAAACTTAAAAACTACAACCGATAAAAGAAAAACTCATTCGTGGAAAACCCGGGGAACGAATACGTTCTCAATCTTCGGTAATTCGGGTTTTTCGGTACCAAGTCGACAAAAGTCAATTTTTCGTCGTAGCTCCCAACAGAAATCAGTGAACTGAATTTCGAGGGTGGTCTCCTGAGCGCTGACGATCGCTACCGAGAGTTGATCGATTTTGGAAATTCGGAAATTTGAGTTATCAAAAACCCCTCATCAAAATTGACGAGAATTTTCACATTCTCTAGTATCATAAAAAGAAGAGATACACTCTTTCGGCTTTTAAAATCACGCGTACGAAACAATAAGGCTTTCGCGACTCCAAACGCCTTACGGTATAAGTGTGTGTGTATTTATAAATAATTCGAATCCTTAATTTAAAAATACTAAAGAACATTGTGAACGGAAAAATACTTTAAAGAGAGAAATTGTAATAAGTGTCTGGGACGACATTTCCATCTATTAGGGATTACATCTCTAATAAGCAGAAAACTTGTAAGTAAATCTTAAGTAATATATTGTTGTAAAATTTGAACTTTGTGATTCGCGGAAAATCAATCAAATTGAACCAACTTCATATTTCGCCTGATATTGTAAACTTGGATTAACTGGTTAAAACAAACAATTAAAGGTGTTACACATTCGAGAAATTCGCTTAAATCATTTCAAATATCCCTTCGGAATATAAAATCTGAAACCTCCGGTCCCATTACCTAAGAAGAAAACAAGGTAAGAGTGCAGAATAAACAAATTGCTCATTAACACTCGGGAAAACGCGATAAGAAACATTTTATCGCACTTTATTTTTATTGTTAACCAAGGAGTCCTTGATACCTGATCCATTAGAGTCCAATGAATTAATTCAACGAATAAATCAGTTTCTAAACTCAGGATTTTCCCGCCTGAAAAATCCTTCGGACATAACAATTGAAAGCCATGCAATATCGCTCAATTCACTATGTTTTTCATTGCGGGATTCGAAAAAAGCTACGATATCATCCAGATTTTCCCAAAACCTATCGAGCATAACACCCTTGCTCAGCCATCTCACTTCTGTGTGATATAATAAATCGCACAGAATCGCACACAATAATGGTCGGCCAAACACTAATGGAATTTTCATAGGAATTCAATAGAATTTCATTGAAATAAAAAACTAGGATTGTTTATTCGATTTTTTCATCTATGATCATTTTTCAGGTATCTTTGCTCGCTCACTCTCTGCAGCTAATTATTTTGATTTTTTTCTGCAGTAATTATTCATTTTCGTGGTTAACTGGAAATGGATGAATTTTCAAAGATTTAACAGTGGGATCGATATAATGAAAAAAAGTCAAGAGATGAAATGATAAAATTTCTTGTTTCCGTGCTTTTTTAAGGTCAAAAATCTTTTAAATTTAAGTAAGACTGTCACTTGCTGAACATTTAATTCCTGAAATGCGGAAAACACAATTAAATTTTTTAAATACTGCTTAGGGAATGTTCAAACAATATTAACAAAAATTAAAAAATCTTTTCACCAGTGTTTTTCAATTCATTTGCTGCCGAAATATTCAATTTGGAGGGATTTATTAAACGGAATTTTATGCGGAAGTTGATATAGAAAAAAATGAACAATTGATATTTTTTAACAATGCAAAATATATCAAGAAAAATATTCATATTTTTCTTTCAAAAATTCAAATTTTGTGCGTGTTGACTGACATAACGATACCCCCACTCTGACCCAAGCATTGGGTCTCGCCACTCCGACTACCTGCACAATACAACAGCACCCCTTTTTTTATGGTCATTGGCCTAATTGGGGTTGGGAGCTCGGTGAGCTCGGAGAGCTCACTTTGCCCAGGCCTGGTCTAAGGCAATACGTGCTATGCTCATGCAAAGTCCCAACGAGGAGTAATTCGTCGGGGCAGTACATCGCCCCGAGGAACCTCAATTTTTGAAAAGTACATAGATATAAAAAAGGAAGCCAAGTTAAAAATTTTGAATAAATGGTGATAGTGCACAATCAGGTTTCTATAAGGAAAATAGTTCTCAATGGAATAAGTATTCTAAAAAAATTCTCCATGAAATGAAAAATCAATAGGAACAGGACCAACGTCCTTGGTGCGGATCAAAGGATGGAGGAGTAGATTGATACAGACAGCGAATTGAAAAACTCCGCGCTATTTTCTGACTTGATTTGGTTCGTCATTCAATTTTTGCTCTGATGATTTCTATATGGATTGTATTTCGTGGAGAGATGAATTGATTTCCTTATAGGACCAGTCGAACAAAATGTTCACAAAGAATCCTTTTTGAAAACGTGTTTTTGTTTTTTTTTGTTTTTAAAAATATTATGGAAACATTGGGTGGAATGGACTCTTCTGACTTCTTGTTTCAATATTTATAACCAAGGAATAAATTTATCGATTGAGCTCAGTCTAAGCTTATTACAAAGGAACTGACTGTACTTTAATTTGAAAAAAAAATCTATTTCATCAACATTTCAATAAGATATCAACATTTTGAAAAGGGTTCAAAGTGTCTATTCAATCCCACCGTCTCCTGCTAATTTGTCCTAAATAATCACAAAATTGTTCGCATTTCACTGTCACTTAATTTAGTGAATTTTTTCCCACGGAATGAAAACATTTTCTGTTACACTCGGAGAAAAATAAATATTTTCTTTTCGAATTTAACTATTCACGGACATTTAATACTTGATCACACAATATTTTCGACACATCTCCCTTTTGTCACATTCCAAACATAAACCGATAACCTCACAAACAGTGCATAAACTACCTTTATGTCCGAGGTCCACATGTGAATATAGATATGGCGGGATGAAATTCGAATTTTCGACGAGAGAAAACAAAATAGAACACCGAGTCGATTTTCCGTTTCATTCTAATAAGTGATTTAATGTGAAGAAGAACATTTTCAATGGTTCTCCATAACAACATCACAACCCACATTCAAATGCACTGGTGGCAACACTTCAACATTGGATATGAGGCTCAGTTGGACCTGCGCTGCCAACGTTACAACTTGATTCTTCAACTTTATAATGTGAATTATGAGAATGTGAATATCAACTCGTTGCTATGCGCGTATCTTTTTTACTGTTAATCCAAAAAATACCATAGTTACACCGTTGAAAAGCTCATAGGCGATTTATATAATGTAACTAACGACACTTTCCCGATTTGTCGTCCCGTTCTCAGCATACCGAATGTAAATCATTTAGTGGTAATGGAGGGGGAAGTTCTGTCGTGTATAGATACGCGGTGCGCTCGGCCTGATGTTTTGCTCAGTCGGTCAAAACTTTTCTTGGCCGATACGCTGACACGTATCTCGATCCTTTGCTCTTCCCCTTTCCGCAATCAACCGATGTTAGTGATAGAATCGTGTAAAAATTGGCTAGTTCAAATCGCCCTAATTCATAATTTATTAGTCTCAGATAAATGCGACTTGCGCCTCACAGTCGGTGATAGTGATTCATGTTGTACGCAGGAGCCAACATAATCCGTTGTTCCCTCGATGCTCTAGCATGAGTTTTTTTTATGCGGTGGGTTTACGTCACAGAACATCGGTGAGTTGGTGGGGATCGCATGTAGAGGCCTGAGTTGCCTACTGGTGTGTGTCTCGGCTTCCGCGTGCTTGGTAATGTGTGTGCATGTCGGTGAATCCAGTGTGCGATTTTAAGCATTCTCCCCGCTGTTCCAATTCAGGCGAGGAGAGTGCATGACATTTTGTCATCTCACAACATACGGACATATACACACACATTTTTTAAAAATATCATATCTTGACGTTTCATGATATTCTACATCATTTTGAAGCAAAATTAGAAGATACTAAAAATGGATGATTAGGAAACTTCCATTTGAAAGCAAAATTTATAAAAAAATAAACCTTGAAATAAAAATGAAATATCCATTAGTTTAACAGGTGCAACTATAGAGTATCTCTTGGTATGAAGAATAATGAATTATTCCATGTCATTTGTTCCCGTCGAGACAAAGAGCAACTGACGCCCAATCATCGAGTTATTTTCTGTTTCTGACTTCACCAAGGGAAAAGGGCGAGTTAATGTCCATTTTTGTCCCAGCAAGAATTGGCCACGTTACATTTACCCTTTACTGAACTCATGGTTCTTATCGATTTTATTGTACATTATAATTTTTTGAACGGCAATATCTTGAATTAGATATTGAAGAACAAATTCATTTTTTTTGCCCATTTATGAGCAGTATCCTAAATGGAATAAATTTTTCAAAGTATCTAAAAATTCGTTTCTAGGATGGAACTACAATTTGGAAAGCTAAACCCAGTAACGCCAGTATTTCAGCAACACCTATAGTTCATGAAACAGCAAATTCTGTACTCTTGGGAACTTTGGATGGTACATGTGTGTCGCTGAATCAAACCACAGGAAAGATTCTATGGATACGTCACCTCAAACATCCAATTTTTTCAGCCCCCGTGATATCTCATAATCAATCTATAATATTCTGTGATGTTTCGGGAGTTGTAGCTGCGTTTGATCTTAAAGATGGAAAACAGGTAAGAACGATGAACTCACAATAATCCAAGAGTGACATCTAGAGATGTAATAATTGCAGATCTGGAAAATGGACATAGGAGGAAATGTATTTTCTCATCTTGTGATACAAAAAGATCGAGCAACAGCAATGGAGAACTTGATTATACCCAGCAGAAATAGAAACTTGTATATCTTTCGAATTGAATCTCATACTACGCAACCGAAATTGCGAAATCAAATAGAATTTTCATCGCCCATTATTGCAACTCCATGGGTAGATGATAATTTCATTATAATCGCATTAGTGAAAGGTGAATTAATGATCATAAACTCAGTAAGTTCTGGCGTCGATACGATGTATAAATTCCAAGATGAAGTTTATTCGTCTCCAGTCGTTCATGAGGATTTCCTTGCCATTGGCTGTCGTGACAATAATTTGTATATTCTGTTACGTGAATAAATATGACTTCGTATAATCAAAAACATGAAATGAGATTTTCTTTTTTTCTATCACGATAGATCTAATCATTGTTGACTTATTTTTATTTTTTATTGATTTTTGTAAAAGACAAAGATTTTCGTAAAGCTACCCTGAGGAAGTGTTGTTCGGTTCAAACTGTAAAGCAGAAATTGAAAAAAAACAAAGAAATGACAAAGAAAGATACGTTAGGCATGTCGCATGATAAGGCCGGAAGTTCCTTTACGGAAACGGTAGATCAGGCGAAGTTGACGTCAAATAGTGATTTGAAATGAGCGATAAATAGGGAGGGAAAAAAAGTTGAAAAACATCCTTACATCTTACATTCGAACATCCCTAAAGTTGAAAAGAACTCTCGGTTTTCCCCCAAAACCCTAAAGAAAGTCAAGACTCATCCCGCAAGTTAAAAAATAGCTGTCGGTTTTGCCCCCAAGACCCTAAAGAAAACCTAGACTCATCCCTAAAGTTGAAAAAGAACTCTGGGTTTTCCCCCAAGACCCTAAAGAAAGCCTAGACTCATCCCTAAGGTTGAAAAAGAACTCTCGGTTTTCCCCCAAAACCCTAAAGAAAGCCTAGACTCATCCCTAAAATTGAAAAATAACTCTCGGTTTTGCCCCCAAGACCCTGAAGAAAACCTAGACTCATTCCTAAAATTGAAAAATAACTCTCGGTTTTGCCCCCAAGACCCTGAAGAAAACCTAGACTCATCCCTAAAGTTGAAAAATAACTCTCGGTTTTGCCCCAAGACCCTAAATAAAGCCTAGACTCATCCCTAAAGTTAAAAAATAACTCTCCGTTTTGCCCCAAGACCATAAGAAAGCCTAGGCTCATCCCGAAAGTTACAAAATAACTCTCGGTTTTGCCCCAAGAAACTAAAGAAAGCCTAGACTCATCCCTAAAGTTGAAAAAGAACTCTTGGTTTTGCCCCCAAGACCTCAGAAAAAACATAGAAAAACTCTAGGTTACAGCTCATTCCAACTCTAGCAAATCCCGAGACATACTCTAGGTTTACGGGAAAAACCTAGAATCCCAACTCTCGGGTTGGTCCATCAGGCCTCTCCGGGGTTCATGATTTTTTTGTAGCATCGTGGGGTGCCCCCAAATTTATTCTAATCTCTGTAGGCTCCATTTACTCAGTCGAATTTTTTTTTCCGCTGAAAAACTCGAAAATTTTCTACCTGATTCGAGTATTCTTCCCAACTGAATCTAGTATTTATCCTACTTGAATCAAATGTTTTCCTACTTAGATCAAGTCACAGTACTCGAATCAAATCGACTTTCCGGATTGAATCTGCTAGATAAAAATAGATAAATAAATTGAAGAAAAATTGGAAAATTAACGACGAGGAATTTTTGTGTAGAAATCTCCATAAATAAGTTGGATACACCAATCGATTTTTTCTATACATTTATATGGAATGTTTCTGATGAAAAATACAGAGAATCTGAAGAATACCCTGATGGATAAAACATAGAGTTGACCCAGACTCAACTTTCCAGGAATTTTCTAGAGTTTCTCTCTCTTCTCTCTGGGTTTTGTCTATATACCTAGAGTTGACTCTGGATTAACTATGCACATACGAAAAAATTTAATAGAAAAACCAAGCAAATTCGCAAAGGAATTCTATTGAACTTCTACTGGAAATTCTGTTAGTTTTTTGCCGTTTCTATTGAAAATATTTTGTAGAAAAAAATCAGTGGAAAATTGGTTTTTCTATACAACTTTTTCTGTTGGGACATTTTCTATAGGATTTTCTCGAAATAAATTGTTAAAGTTTTTTTTTTACTTGTTTTTCAAATAAGAAAAGAATAAACATGGTATGATGAAAAAACTTAGAAATTTTATCTCGAGAAATTTCTATAGAAAATGTCCCTATAGAAAAATTTGTATAGAAAAACCAATTTTCTATTGAATTTTTTCTACAAAATATTTTCAATAGAAACGGCAAAAAACTAATAGAATTTCCAATAGAAGTTCAATAGAATTCCTTTGCGAATTTGCTTGGTTTTTCTATTAAATTTCTTCGTATGTGCATAGTTAATCCAGAGTAAACTCTAGGTGTATAGACAAAACTCAGAGAAAAGAGAGAGAAACTCTGGAAAATTCCTGGAAAGTTGAGTCTGGGTAATCTCTGGGAAGTTGAGTCTGGGTTAACTCTGGGTTTGATCCATCAGGGTATTCTTTAGGTTCTCTGTGTTTTTCATCAGAAACGTTCCATATAAATGTATAGAAAAAACCGATTGGCGTATCCAACTTATTTATGGAGATTTCTACCCAAAAATTCCTCGTCGTTAATTTTCCAATTTTTCTTCAATTCATTTTTCTATTTTTATCTAGCAGTGAAAGATAGCCAAAATGTTCAGCGGATTGATTCAATCCGAAAAGTCGATTTGATTCGAGTATTGTGACTTGATCTAAGTAGGAAGATACTTGATTCAAGTACGACAAAGACTAGATTCAGGGGGAGAAATACTCGAATCAGGTAGAAAATTTTCGAGTTTTTCAGCGGAAAAAAAAAATTCGACTGAGTAAATGGAGCTTACAGAGATTTGGTTATTGGAATAAATTTGGGGGCACCCCATGATGCTACAAAAAATCAGGGACCCCGGAGAGGCCTGACGGACCAACCCGAGAGTTGGGATTCTAGGTTTTTTCCGTAAACCTAGAGTATGTCTCCGGATTTACTAGAGTTGGAATGAGCTCGTAACCTAGAGTTTTTCTATGTTTTCTCTGAGGTCTTGGGAGCAAAACAAAGAGTTCTTTTTTAACTTTAGAAATGGGTCTAGGCTTTCTTTACGGTCTTGGGGCAAAACCGAAAGTAATTTTTTAAATATAGGTATGAGTCTAGGTTTTCTTCTAGTCCAGTCAACCTAGCTCTGAAAATGTCGTTTATATCGAAATTAACCAAAGGGCACCAAATTACACCAATCGATAGCTAAAAGTGTAATTATTAATGTTTTAAAAAGTATATGCTCAAATTTGCCGGGGTGATTCACAATTTGTTATAAAAAATTGGGAATGGGCGACAGGCCGTCTTCAATCCTAGATATCTTTAGTTAACCTCACCAGATGGGAAAAAAAAATATTTCTTTGTAGCTGAGAAAATTTCCTATCGGGGGAAGTTAGGAACTTATAGCCCAAAATTTACCGTTAATTTATTATAAAGTATAATAGCAATTTCGAAGCAGTCGGCGCAACGCGTCAGCTGTTCCCCTCCCTGCACCAGTGCCATGAGTCCCGTGATTGGCGCCATGCGCAACTTATTCAAATCTCCTGCTGCGCTCAACGCAATAGCCCTCAGCTGGGTTTTTGATGAATATCTCCGAATCTGTGGGTGGTAACCAAATTTCCGTTATAAACTTGTTTGAGATTGAAGCTAAATTGAGATGCCGGTTGGGGACAAGTGGAATTGTGGAAGGAGGTGGAAAATTAAAACACGCGGAATTATAAAACCACACTGTTGATGTACTTTATTGTGGAATAACCCACGCGTCTTGATAAATTAATAATGTTACACTATTGAGTTGCTCGACAAAGTCAATTAAATGATGATTTAAAAATGCACTGCACTTGAGATTCTCTCGATATTGAACTTGATGATTGACTCAAAATAATTGATAGGTAACTCGGAATTAATTGATAGTAGAATTGAATTAAATAGAGACGCTGTACGGAGCGCTAGACTCAAATGTATCGCGTTGATGTACTCCGGTGATGTACTCGATTGAGCGGTTACGGCGATACAGTACTGTGATTAGAGTGACTCTCTCGGTGGCTAGAGCGATACTACAGACTTTTTCGGGGATTTTCTTCGTAGCTGAATGTGACCCCGAAGGGTCCCGAAGTTTCTCGAGATTTTCGTTGAGCCCGGTGACCGTTTGACTAGTTTGAATAGCTGAATTTCAAACACCATCCTCTCTGTTGATGATCGTAGATACTATAGATTAGTGAACTCTTTGGTGATGACTCTTCTGTTGTTGATGATATTCTCTTGATGATTAATCGATTAGAGCTCCGGTTCTAATCGACACTCTCTTTGTTGGCTATGCTCTTACTTGAACTATTGCTGATAGCGCAGATCATTGATACTCTGGAGATCGCGCATCTTCCTAGTATGCATCTGACTTGCCGGTGATATTCCTCCTTCTGATGAGCCTTCTGTCGACTTGAAGGTGTAAATTCCCTCAGTTGTCGTCAACTTCGATGTGACTGCTCTTGGTGTGGATTTTGCTGAGGGGAGAAACACAGAAGATGAGGCCGTATCCCTTACCAAGATTTGATCGTAAAATGAGAAAGTGACGCTTGATCTCTCCTCTAGTGGTTTCTGAAAGTCCCTCTCTCGATGCTAGGGTCGATGATAGCTGAAGTTTTGGATGTTCAGCACTGCTATTGATACTCTTGATGATGTACTCTGAGTTGGAGGTAGATATTGGATGAATCTATCCTCATTGTTGAACTGCTGACTTTGGATCTCCCGATAAGCTGTCTTGTTTTTCATCTATTTCCGATTAATGAGCTTTCTCATCGATTGAGGTTCACTGTTGCTGATGCTGTTCTCTGGGAGCCTTCCGTCGACTCGGAGGAGGCGTAAATTCCTTCAGTCGCCGCCAAGCTCGTAGTTGATTGATTGCTAAGGGGAGAAACACAGGGTGAGAGACGTATCACTTGCCAAAGTATTGATATATGGAATATGATACTTATCTCTCAATCCTGGAGTCTCTGGATTCCCTTAGCTCGTTGATGGTGTTGACAATCTCCTGATGATTCCTATAGAAGGTCGGGATTATATAACCCGATACTTCTCAACTAATTTGAGTTTTTTTGCAGCTGTCTGATAGGTAGTCTCGGTGATATACTCATGAGTCGGAAGTAAATTCTCGATGAATTTCTCTTGGAGGTTGAGCAGCTCTCTCCATCCCGCTTCGATGAGTTTCTTCTGGCCTTCTAATTCTTCGATGGTAAGGCTATTGATATTCTCTGCTGATAGCAACAGTTCTTGATGAATCTCGTC